TTTGGAAAACCGAGAAACCAAACCCATCAGTTTGGGATACGCTTTTACTTTGATTATGGATCTGCTACTAGGTATGTGTGTTCGTGACTGTGTGTATTGTGTTGGGGTTGAAACACACTTTTATTCAGAACTAGAACAAAAGAGAAGAGCTTACACGCTCAATATTACAAGAAAAAGAAACAACCCTCTAATACTCACTCTAAGTATTATACACTACACTCTCTGTTTGTGGTGTCTTACAACTGAGGTTAGAGCCTCTATTTATACTTAAACAAGCCTACAATTACTACTGCTACCATTTATTGTGTTCATTATGTGAACATACGAAGTTGCCATTTGAGTTCTTATTGTCAACAAAGGAGGCATTCATTTGTCAACAAAAGAGGGTGGTACAGCTACTCATGGCAAGTTCACACCCAAGTAGGTTTACACTCACATTCTCCCCCTTAAACCTAACTTGGCTCGAGATTCGTCACTCCGATCATGTTTCACATTTCACCATGTTTCACGTATGCTAAAGCCTTTGTAAAGATGTCCACCCGTTGATCCTTCGAGTTGACATATTCCACTATAATTTGCCCACGTTCAACACATTCTCGTATGAAGTGATAACGAATGTCAATGTGTTTGCTTCGACCATGAAACACAAGATTTTTCATCAATGTGATTGCTGATTTGTTATCGACATATAAGGTGATAGACATAATATGATGTCCCGTGAGCTCCTTCACGAGATTAGCAAGCTAAATGGCTTGACATGCTGCTGTTGTAGCTGCCATGAACTCGGCTTCACACGTGGACAAAGCAACAGTCTTTTTCTTTTGGGATTGCCAAGTTATCGCATTCCTTCCCAGATAGAAAATCATTCCACTTGTGCTCTTGCTATCAACAGGGTCACCTCCAAGATCACTATCGGTAAAACCAACCAAATCTTCAATTTCACGACCTCTTCCATAGTTGATTCCATAATCAACGGTTCCTTTTACGTATTGCAAGATGTGTTTCACAACTTGGAAATGCAAAGTGGTTGGTTCCTCCATGAAACGACTTGCAATTCCAACCGAAAATGACAGGTCTGGTCGAGTGTGAGTCAAGTACCTTAAACAACCTACCACTCGCCTATATTCAGTTGGATCAACTGTTTCACCATCTCCATCCTTCTTGACCTTCAACTTAGGTTCCATTGGTGACGTTGTCGGATTGCAATCTAGCAACCCAAATTGTTCTAAAATCTTCTTTGCATAAGCCGTTTGTCGCAAAGATATTCCCCACTTCTTTTGCGAAACTTCGATTCCAAGGTAGTAAGAAAGTAATCCCAAGTTGTCTTTCTTCACTTTAAACACCCATTTCAAACCGATTGCTTTGTGTCCGGGTGGCAAATCGGTAAGTTGCCATGTCTTGTTCTTCTCGATTGCATCCAACTCTGTTTGCATAACCTCTTGCCATGCCTTAGAGGTTACCGCCTCTTTAAAATTCAAGGGTTGATCCGCAATCCCCATGGCCCAATCTCACTAGAAGGGCTTTCCATATGGGGCAAGGTTGAAGAAAACGGGGCTGAGACAGGAGTATGTGGAGCTGGTTCAGGCTCGTCAAATTCAGCATATGGTTGTCCAACTTGGATAGCATCGATTCCTGGACTGTTTGGTTGTTGCAGATTGATTTCGGGGTCATTTTGAGGTGTTTCGAGGTGTATTTGGGGTTGTGGTTCAATTATGTTAAAGGTCTTAGGAGTCGCCATCTCTTGTTCTTCGTTTTTGTACCAATTCCATTCTTCTTTTTCGTCAAAAACAACATCGCGACTAACTCGCAACTTTCGGTCTTGCGGATCAAACAAACGGTTGCCTTTAGTTCCATCTTCCACACCTAAATACACCATCTTCTTACTTCGATCATCAAGCTTCTTCAGGTGACCACCTACAAGTTTAGCAAAAGCAACACAACCAAAAACTTTTAGATGTTCAAGGTTGGGCTTTTTGCCAAACCATGTTTCATAAGGCGTCTTGTCGGGAAGTACTTTTGTTGGCAGGCGGTTGAGAAGATAAACTGCATGTCTAACCGCTTCTCCCCAAAACTCTCCCGGAACATTTCTACCTTTGAGCAGACTTCTTGCCATGTCTATAATGGTCCGATTTCGCCTTTCTACAACTCCGTTCTGTTGAGGCGAATATGGTGTCGTAGGATGCCTTTGAATACCATTTTCTTCACAAAATAATGAGAATTCTTTTGAAGTGAACTCTCCCCCTCGGTCCGTTCGAAGTGTCTTTATTTTATAACCCAAATTCTTTTCAACCATCAACTTGAACCGTTTGAAAGCGCTCAAGGCTTGAGACTTCTCCGATAGCATGTAAACCCACATCCACCGGCTAAAATCGTCTACTAAAAGGAGAAAATATTTACTCCCTCCAACAGACGTAGGTGTGATCGGACCACATAAGTCCGCATGAACAAGTTGTAGAGGTTTTTGAGCTCGAAAAACTGCATGATCCGGGAAAGGAATTCGGGTTTGTTTGGAAAGAACGCACCCTTCACATACTTGGTTTGGGTGCTCAATCTTTGGGACTCCGATTGCCATATTCTTTTCGGACAACTTCTTTACAACCGTAATTTCTTCAATCTTTTCACCTAGAGATCGAATACCGGTTACGATAGTATTCAATCTCATGGAAAAATCATCTACCGATTCACTGTCTTTCATCCGGATCACCTCGAAGTCACTTCTCAAGGTTTGAGCTTTAGCCTCCTTGACCCGATCGGCTCCCATGTGCATCATCTTGAGCGTTTCCTATGCTTCTTTAGCTGTGTCCTTCTCAGCTAACATCAGAAGTACGTCCTCTGGAATTGCTTGATAAATAGCCGCAAGAGCCATCCGATCTTTACGTTCGTCCGTTTCTGCATTTTTAATTACATCCCATACTCCTTGTGCTTGTAAATTCACTTGCATTTTTATGGCCCACACAGCGTAGTTCATCTTCGTGAGCATTGGATAGTGTAACGTAACGCTACCGTCTTTCCCGGTCCTTTGAAAACTTTCAACTCCGGCTTGAGAAGATGACGAGGTTGGTGTAGTCATTCTTGGCATATACTTGGGCATACACGAGTAAGAATATTTTTTTTTGAAGTACGGGGACCTATATGAACTTTTCAGAAGTTCAGGGGGCAAATAGAACTTTTACAGAAGTAAAACAGGGGCTAAATTGAAATTTTTCTGAAAAACGGGACCAAAATTGTAATTTTTCTGAAAAACAGGGGCTAAATTGCACTTTTCGGAAGAACAGGGGCTAAACTGCAATTTCCAGAACTTTGGTCAGCTGCTGACGTCACTGCTGAGGTCACTGCTACAGTGCTGCTACAGCACCTGCTACAGTGTTGTCTTCTCCGGCGAACCCTGGTTTTTCCGGCGACTTTTCCGGCAGATTTGACCAACTTTGACCGGTGATTTGGAGGCCTTCCGGTGGTCAAAAAATTAAAAAAAATATATTTTCGGAATCCTCAGAACGAGACCTTTCCAACGGTGTACTCCGAAATTGTTTTTGAGACAAAAAAATTTCGACCAAAAAACAGAGAATGCTTCCCCCGGAGCTTAACCAAGCTCTGATACCACTTGTTGGGGTTGAAACACACTTTTATTCAGAACTAGAACAAAAGAGAAGAGCTTACACGCTCAATATTACAAGAAAAAGAAACAACCCTCTAATACTCACTCTAAGTATTATACACTACAGTCTCTGTTTGTGGTGTCTTACAACTGAGGTTAGAGCCTCTATTTATACTTAAACAAGCCTACAATTACTACTGCTACCATTTATTGTGTTCATTATGTGAATATACGAAGTTGCCATTTGAGTTCTTATTGTCAACAAAGGAGGCATTCATTTGTCAACAAAAAAGGGTGGTACAGCTACTCATGGCAGGTTCACACCCAAGTAGGTTTACACTCACATATTGGACTAGCTGAAGACCTGAACTTTATGTGGGTGCCTTATATGGCTTTTATGTAAGGCTGTAACTGTGTTTCTGGGGGCTTGCTTTTGGGTAGTAAAAAAACATCCTATTAGTCTCACTACCTTTGGGATAAAAAGGTAAAAGGTTTTTAATGAATTAAATTAATGGTTTTTTTTTTTCATAAACTTCATGATCCATTTTAATAGGTTCGAATAAGGCGAAGTGTGTACTAGGGTATCAGTTTCATGTATGCTTCACTTTCTTGTACTATGTTTTTCGCTAGTTTCCTATTGGTTACCTTTTTTTTTTCTTAATAAATCTTTGGCTTTCAAAAAAAGTGAAAACTGAGACCTTATATACACAACCTGAGTTTGTCATGCTTCGGTCGAAATTACTAGTTCAAGAACATGGGGAAGGTTTTCAAATTATGTATTTGTTGGTGCCATTTTTCCTCGATACCATGAGTTACTATAGTCAAATTCAACCATTCGTTCCAACTAAAAGTGTGCACATTATGTTGGCCTTGCCTAACTATGCACAAAGGAGTAATTTGATTTCGAGAGATAATCTACAATATTGTAACAGTAAACCAAAATGTACAAAACAAATCCTCAACCTTGTTATTGTCTCACTAAACTTAATTAGTAGAGGAATGGCTCCAAGGGATTCAACTATATTGTGATATAATCAAACATTAAGACAAACTTAGCTTGAATGATGTTATTGTCCAAAATTTCTTCAAGGCCACATGTTCCTAAAATTACAAGTGTTCAAGACAAACAAATAAAAAAGAAGGCATCTTATAATTCATACATTATTTACGAAAAGGGTATACACCGGCTGTTTACTTCCCCAACCGGTCCCCTAGCTAACATGAGAAAATTAAATCACAATCCACGGTGAGCAAGCAATTGAAGATGTTTTTGACTTAAAACTAAAACCGCTCTAATAAATTCTCATATTGTTGTCACCATGTTGATCACTTACGCTGGGACATATTTAACAAATAGAGAAACAAATACTTTTAGGTGTTTACAATGTTTTTTAGTGCCGTTGTCTTATCTAATTGTTTCTGTATGTAAGGATAAAGCTTCCTTCATGTATCCACTAAGGTAGAATTCATCTTCCTCATCTTCTAACTCCTGATGAATTAAAAATAAATAAATGATGTGTCAATAACAAATGTACATTTTTGTTAATAATTTTATATATTTGTTCTTTCAAATCATCTCCATATTTAGGGAACTGATAAAAACGATATCCACAACTTACTTGAAATTTCATAGCCACCTTAAGTTGGAATACAACGTCAGCAATTGCAGGTCGTTGTGCTCGAGTTTCTTGCAAGCATCGATATGCAATAGCAGAAAACTTGTTCAACGTTATTGGTTTTATATCATTTCTCATTCTATGATCAATAATCTTGTCCAACTCTCCTTTTTCGTAGTGTGTTCGGGCTAGATGATGGAGGAATCGATGCTCATCATGGTAACTTGAAACATATGCAAGCCTTCCACACAATACTTCAAACAGAACCACTCCGAATGAGTACACATCAGATTCTTTTGATAAATATCCTGTTCTTTCGTATTGTGGGTCATTATAACCATGTGTTCCAGCAATGTTGGTGATCACAAGGGTGTTTTGTTGATTTGCTAGAGCTATCATAGCCAAACCAAAATCCGAAAGTTTTGCCTTCCCGTTTTCATCCAACAAGACATTTGAACTTTTTATATCCCGATGTATTATTCGGTGTTTCTCTGCAACATGATTATGTAGATAATCCAATGCCGAAGCAACACCAATGCAAATTTTAAGCAATTGTGGCCATGACAATCTGTTTGATATTGTGGTGTCACGTAAGTATTGGTCCAGGCTTCCATGAGTTGCGTATTCATAAACCAAAATCATCTCCCCATTATCGTCACAAAACCCTATAAGGGTTATGATATTCTCATGTTGATGCTGTGAAAGAATTGAAACCTCGGTGAGGAACTCCTTTTTACCTTGAAACCCAGTGACATCTAGCCGTTTTACAGCAACTGGCTCATTTACATGATCTTCCCAGGTGAGGATTCCCTTGTATACACTTCCATATCCACCCTTCCCAATGAAATTTTTAGAATTAAAGTCTTGGGTACTATCTTTTATAGCCTCCAGGGGGATTCTACAACGGTTTAGTTGTTTCATCTGCAGACATGTTCTGACTAATTAATATTGAACCAGTCTAAAAAACATACATATATGATATATACATGATTTCCGGAACCAACCTCTGGATATCTTAGCAGATCTTGATTTGAACTTCCAGGCTCAACTGGAAGTATATTATCAGTATGCATTTCTGCGTTCTCAGTAACATTTGAGTGCGCTAGAAATATCTACACACATACACAGTAACAATTCACCAAATTGCTCCACCAAATATAAGAAATCATAAAATGAATTTCTCTAACAGACCTAGGGATGTCTTTGTACCTTTTGTTCTGAAGTTTCAGGTTCAAGTAGAAATATATCCCGAGTGTATATTCCTGCCTTCGCAACTACAAAATCATGTGCTTTCAATATCTATGAACACAAACACATTAATAGTTCATCAAATTTGGATAAAGAAAATTTAAGAAGTTATGAAATGGATTTTTTCAAGGAACAGAATATCCAACAATTTACCTCCTCTGGCACCTTAACAGAATTGAAAAGACTGACTGACTTCAGAACCGTAAATAGAACTTTAGCAATTTGATAAGCTTTTGTAAGATAGAGGGTACTGGCATGAGAATTAAAATATTTTCAATCAGGATAGAAAAAATATCAAGAATACATGTAAAAAATGCGATGATTAAATTTGGGGCTTCCTCCATCTCCAATTCTCTCTTCTGGGTCAAGTCTTTTACATTTTCGATCAGCACACACAAAATTTAAGATGAAAAGAGAAGTAAAGAAGAACACAGATTTTGTTCTTCACATGGTTTGGGTAATCCTGCTACATCTACAGCCTAGCAAGAAAATTCCTATTTATTTTGTTATACGTCTTAAAAGTTACATGAGATCTATATATAGAGACAAAACGGGCCAAACTGGATACAATGCCAACCCACCCCATTTCTTGGTCGTTATAGGAGGGTCACATCCCTTATTCAACTATTAGAGATACAAAATAATACAAGTATCTTTGACTCACCTACTTCTAGTTCAAAATCCACGTTGTCAGGAGAGACATCTTAGATAGATTTTCCTAACAACACCATCTTTTCCCCAGACTCTAGACCATCGACTCATAGAACCTTTCCATCTAAAACAAATCCATCGACATAGAGTTTTTACGACTTTTAATCACCCTATCGCTCAAAGCTTTCCAAAGCTTATATAGTTCTTTTCAAGAGAACTCATCTCATTTCTACAACTTCAATCTATCACATGCATTTTTTCATCCTCAAATCTTCTGGATAGGCTCACTAGTCTTGGTTAAAATAATGTGTTGATAGAGAGTATTTGAATAGAGGTCTTTCTTTATAGTAGATTTCCTTATGTCCCTAGTTTTTGTGCCTACTTCATTTGTAATATTTGTGCTCCCATTAGCTTAGATATACCACTAGTGTTATGTTTTGGACATGTGCTCTCTTAGTAACTTTTTTAATAGCTTGTCATGCTACTTAGGTAACTGGATTTCGGTTTAATGGTCAATTTCTTGAATATATCAAGGCTTTTAACTTTTTTTTTTTTTTTTTTTTTGGGGTGGGGGGTTGTTTACGTAACTTAATTATCTTCGGTCAATTGGGAATAAGACTTGGATCCAAAAAAGTATGTTGGATAATGGATTTGTAGCTTATGTGTAGCTAACTTATCCTTTCTAGCCAAATGGTGATGGAAACTTAAAATTGAGGACAATGAACTATGGTTAAAGGTGGTACGAGCCATCGATGGGGTTAGTGGTTATGACACTCCCTCTTTTCCATCAAATGACATATAAGGAGTGTGTGTAACATATCTAAGATCAGAATACTTCATCAAATATGGGCATTGCTTTTGCGAAAATATTACAATGGAAAACCGCAACATGGAAATATTTCTTTTTGGTTTGAAACATAGATAGATCCTTTGCTTCTTCATTTCCATTTCCCAAGACTTTTCGTGTTGGATATGGAAAAATATTGCAAGTTGGTGAATATTCAGGAGGATTTCTACAACCAGCTAAATTGGTCTTGGAAGTGGAGTCCGTCTGGGGCGGCTAGGCAGAATTATGAGTTACAAGAGCCAATAGAAGAGATGCGAGTTGTGTCAATCTTGAATCCTACCGATTGTTTCCTTGGTGGAAGTAGGTTGTTAACTTGACAAATGCTTAATCGGTTAATTCGTTAAGGGACATGATAAATATAAAATCATGTTTGTAGAGGATGGTCGCAACAAATGGAATAATTGTGTTCCAATTAAGCTAAACAAATTTTCATAGAGAATTAGGTTGGGAAGGCTCCCTAGTATGTCGAATGTTATCAAAAGAAGGTTGTCTTCAACTCAAACTATATTTTCCGTCTTTGTAAGGACGATGAGGAGGATGAAACTCATCTTTTTGCTCATTTTCCATTTGTTTTGAGGTTTGGAATTGGACTTTTACATAAATCTAGATGATGGCCAACAAGCAGATTTTAAGTCAACTCATCATTAGATGTCTTTGTACGAGTGTAACCCTAAGGTAGAAAGTGTATGTTTGAGGGCTTCTAATAATGTCTCTCTCTAGTTCGTCCGTGGACCTAGCTCTATTATTCTCGTCAAGTGAACCACATTAATTCTTTATGTTGTTTATTTCTTCACATCTTTAACTTTCTTGTTTGTACGTTTATTTATCATTAATTCCTAACATGCTACCCCTCACGATGCCTCCTCAACTTACCACTAATATTAAGGTGAATTTGTTCTTATGGTTTAAATACAGTGCTCAAGTAGCTAGTCCCATCTTGGCTTGCTCGTCTTTGTTGTAGTTGTGATTTTGCAGTTGTAGTTAGTTTCTTTTGAATATGTTTTCCACAATTTTGAAAAAAAAATAAAATAAACAAGAAGATGATTACCGATAAGCTTCTTCTGAATTTTGGAAGGGTTGAATGTCCTTCTGAAAATACTGCCGATAAAAGTTCTGCATTTCATGAGCATCATTGTTTATTCTTGGTCCTCGTGATGTTTGTAGATCTTCCTAAAGAGAATACAATTATGGAATTCATAATCTATGGGAAAGGAATTAAAAGAGGATGCCTTTGGAATAAAGATGGTCATTTATGTATTTACTCAATTTCAAAAAGGAAACTAACTATGGCACCAGGTTAACAATGGTAGGAACGAATTTAACAAACAAAAGATATGTTCAAAACAGAAAAAACTAAATATAGAAATATGTATTGTTAAATACAATACGCAAGAAAACGTACTTGAATCCCAATTAGAGAAATGAATTTCATCGAAGTATGCAACAATTGCAGTGTCGTAAGACAGAATTTTCCCACTTATGGGTCTGTCTAGAAGACATACATATCAATCCAAGATTATGATGGATATGACGAATCAAAAGTATGTCTCCATGATGAAACATTGAAAAAACGTGGAACGAGAACTATATTTTTCTATGGGTAGTTCCAACCTGAAAATCTGTCAATTGAGGTGGAATTTATATTCTCTCAATTGACAGTTAAAACCTGTCAAAACCGAAATTCATAACTGTCAAAAACCTGTCAGACAGTTAACTTTGAATTTCGAAATAAATAAATAAAAACTAATCTTGTAATTCAATTAGATAAAAACGATTCATTAAGAAGAGCCCAATATGTTGACCATCACCTATATACATTTTGACTATCTTTGACCATCAGATATATGTATATCGATCTTAAGACAGAAATTGTGGTCTGTCTAAAGGATACACTATCAATCCAGTATTAACTTGGATCTAACAAATTAAAAGTTTGTCTCGGTAATGAAACATCTAACATGGAATGATGAAGAGCAAAAGACTGATATACGTTTTGACATTCTGAGAATGAACCGATTAAATGTTTAAGAAAGGTCCATGGAACATAATACTTGATACAAATTTGCTCCAAAATTTTCTGGCATAATAGTGTTTTGCTTCAAATTGCTCATGAATAGGGAAGGAGTAAACAAAAGAGAACAAATACCTGTTTTAGCTGCTGAAGCAGGGAAATCTTGAATTGATGAACACCAGGGCCAGCTGATTCTGGATCTAGTCTCTCAGCTTTCTCATAGGCATATAACCGACCTGATCATGTATACAAAAATTTTTACAAAGCATATGGGTATACCTAAAGGTATGCTTCAGTAATATCTGTCCCTATATAATTCACTTCTTTATGTGGTCAAATACTTATTTCCTTATCTTTTTATGATACACAGATTTCTTCTGCCCTACAATGAATATATGGGATATTACCCACAAATTGTTCTATTTCTCCTGACGAAACATGTCCTTACATCAATGTATTTTACCCTCAGTTTGGGTGTCAGAATCTTGGCCATGTTGTGTTTAGAATTGGAGTTAGAAAATATTTTCCTTCTTCCTAGTTAAAGCACTGTACCACCTTCAAATTAGTAATATATGTTCCATTTTTAACGCGATCCAAGTTACATACTTTAAGTTGCTATAATACCCTTAAATTTAAACTATGTGTGTGTGTGTAAAATTTAATTATAATATGTGTTGGGGACTTACAACAGTAGGCAACCCTCGGATTTTCCGATTTAATTTCATCAGCAACACCAAGAAAAGGTGCAATCTCAGCAAGCGATGAAGGGACAATCTTAATATCCATGATTTCCTCGACACACAAAGTATGAACTAAGAGCTTGAACGTATCCTCCAGATTACCTGCTATACTGCAAAACATTAAGCACTATCCAGAATATCCCTAAGAGAAAGCCAACGCAATTATAATCAGAGAACTGTTTTCTTGAATTAGTAGAGATACAGCTTCAATTTTTTAGAGACACAAAGGTTATTTACATCAGCGCTCCATTTCTCGACAAAACAATTTGTATCCACAGTTCCATTATCTAAAATTAGCGCTCCATTCCCCACTAAAAAAAACAAAACAATTTGTATGGATCCACAGTTGAACAGTGAGATAAATTCTCAAAACTCTCTCAGTAATCCTAAAAAGAAGAACACTTGGCTCTCTTATTCATCACTATTTGGCCAAGATAATCATAATCATAAGAAATCCAATTAACGAAAATTATCATATTCCTAAAAAGCCCAATTAATCCCTTTTTCATCAGTCATAATCAAAAGATCAAAACCTTATAGTACTTTTTCTTCTTCTAACGGTGATTACTAGCGAGTGAACACTGGATAACGATACTATGTAAATAACGAAAATGAATTCAGAATCAAAAGCATTAAACTTCCACATCACCATAGTGATTGTTTTTTGCTAAAAGACATGACTGTGTTTGTGTGTGAGTGAAGAGGCTTCGAAGAAGATACATACCTGGATCTGAAATGGTAAGAACTAAAGTCCTGCAATACTAATATATGGCTGAACTAAGGTGCTGCGTCAGCTGAACATAGTCATGTAGCATGATATCAGCTGGCGGAACAAAGTCATGTTGCATGATAGCATATGGCCTTTGAGGTAACGTGTAATCCTAAATTTTGACTAAATGGACACTTAAACGAACTGTTGTGTATATAATATTTTATAAACTGAATTTTAGAATTCCGTTCTTGTAAGGAGTCATAAAAAATTATAATAACATAGTAGATATAGGGCAGTTGGACAAGATTATAATCGAATCATGATATCATCTGGCTGCGTCGGCCGCATGTTAGACCGTCATTATTATTTTAGTCTGATAGGATTCGTCATATCTTTTTGCAAAACGGAAAAGTATGTCCAGTCATGTTTATATTTATGAATTATATTAAAAACTAGTATTATTATTTGACTTTTACCGTTTTACGCATCTAGTCTCCAAATAATGGCTAATATTTTATATGAAAGGTGGAATCCTTCCACCTTATAAATTGATTTTTTTCTTAGCGTTTTTTAGATGTTATTTAAAATCGCTTTTTTATGGCTCTTATTGTTTGGTTATAATAAACTATCATAAATCAAATATTCTCCTAAATTTTGTTTATATCCATCTTTCTACTCACTAGATCAATGCAAACATTAAAATCTGAGAGGTGATTAAGAGAGACTATAACTATAATTGGATTCACATGTCATTATTTTATAAGTAAGAAAACGGATATGAACAAAATGTAGAAGGATATTTAATTTATCATTAACTATAAACTAATGGGGGAATTTCGTATATGTCATTCTTAAATACCAAAATATCATATTTATCCATCCAAAAATCTAAATATCATATTCACCTTGTGCCAAAATATCATCTTTGCGCAAATGTTATTTTTAAATATTTTTCTAACATTTTATAATAAATTTAAATATTTAAATTTACCAATGGACTGTTATACCCTTTATAAATTTCCCAACATTCTTTGATTGATTGAACTTCAAAATCACATCTAAAAGAATGCTGACGTAGATGATTTTTGGAACAAAACCTATGCCATGAAACTAGCTAAATGACCTGCCACTTGCTTTGATTTTTCGGAACAAAAACCAAAAATGCAAGCAGTCTTTGTAATCAAATTAGGAGTTGAATGTCCAGTCAATCCAATCCTTGTCAAATCAGTTCTTAGAATCCGTCACTTGTTGAAGTTAGTTTTTACAACACTACAGAATATGAACATTAATCGACGCTCTTTCTTTTCTTTTTATTGATGGGACATGTTTAAGCGTCGTATCAAATAGTGTCGCACAAGACTTGATTGCATTAGGGGCTTCATCCTCCACCTTTAGTGTGACTCCCTAACCTTATTTTCCAGATTCAACTGGAGCTCGATACCTTCTTTTCCCATCAAAAGTTATAGATGAGGAATCAATCGAGTGTGCCACTAGTGGTCATCCAGGATGAATGGTAGTTCGTTGGCATGTCTTTTCCTCCTGGAGTTGTTGGTGCGAATCAAGTGTTTTTTTTTTTGTAACATATACCGAGATAGGCTGGGAAATCCTTCTTCGATAGATAGGTGGCAACATGACCTGAAAGGATGGAAAGGAGTGCCCATCCCCAACCAAACATCAGAATCATGAAATTTAACTTAACCAAAACCCAAACATACGTCGTGTGAGCGCGTTTGGATCGCCAAAGGAAATCACTTGGATGTTCCCCTAACCCTACTCAAGAAACAGACCAAAGGGCTCCACAACATGGGGAATGTCTGTTTCTCGTTGCAAGGATCATTTTGTGATATGGGTCGTAGTGCGGGCAACTTTATCTGATCAAGGGTCGGGCATAAGGATTGTATTTGGTTATGACATTTTCGGCTTTGCTCTAACTAAACTATTGTGTCGTTAAGTTATATCATTGTATTTAAAAAAGAACTAAATTAGATGGAGTTTACCAACAAAGAATTTCTAACCTACCAGTAATCATTAGTAATCTTGAAAGAACCAATCCCAATACCATAACCAGAATCTAGAAAAAAAAACATCCAACGATTTGATTTATGTTCATGGCTTAAGGTGTATGGTAAGATGATTTTGTAACTTATACATTCTATATTTACCAGTGTTGTAGAAATCGGCCTTGGCGGCCGATTAATCGCTTGGTGGTCTTTAATCGATTGCGATTAGGGTGCTCGGCGGAAATTAGTCATCTGTCAAACTCGGGCTTGGCGGTCCACGGCGATCATAGGCATCAAAAGTTTGAAAAATTCAAATTTTTTTAATTTTCAAAAAGCACACCAAAAATTTTAAAATTTTAAATTTTCAAGTTTTCAAATTTAAATTTTGAAAATTTTAAACAAAAATTTTAAAATTTTAAAATACTTATTTATTAGGATATATTAACTTTTTAAATAATTGTACTAGTAATTTAGGGTCCCCGATTAATCGCCACCTAGTCATATTAATCGCTTAACACCAGTCCACCTCCAAGCTACCGCCAAGCGACTTTCACAACCTTGATATTTATAGTTATACTTTAACTAATATTGCTACCTTCGATTTTGTAGATTAAAGAATTTCTAAGGCACATGTTGTCATTGATCTTTATAGGCAGTGTCTCTTAAATTGGGTGTTACTTTAGGTAATGTTAATAGCGGTTTCCATGGGTGTTGTTCTTGAAGAAGAAGAAGTTGGTGCAAGGACCTTGAAGTTGTTGGATTAGGTGTCTAAGCCCATAACTATAATTGGTATGTACTTGACCCGAGAGTAGCATGGTCCATTTCGGGTTGCATATCACCTGGACAATTTGATAGGATGGACTTTTGAGAAGAGGTTATTTATGATTTATTAATATATTATAAGTTCTAATATATTAATATGAAATCATATGATTTAATTAGTGTTGATCAAGAATTAATTTGGAATTAATTTAGTGATCAAAAGAAACTAATTAAATATACGGTGACTGATTAAGTAAATCAATGAGTCTTATAGTATGGGCCAATAGTTATTTAGGATGGGCTAAACCAATATGGTAGTCCATGGATAGTCCATGGAGGTTTAACCCATGGATCCTAAGTAATATGAAAGGTCATGGGCATTAGGGTTTGCATGTATGTACCCTAATCTTACCACACTATATAAGAAGCCCCTTAGCATCCAAAATCGCACACTAGTGTTCTTAGAGTTCCCATGATCCGTTTTTTGTGCAAGAAACTCTCTCAAAAGTTATCATTTGACCAAATGTGTGTTGTGAACCGTTTGAGTTGCAACATTTGAGGCGCTAAGTTCTTAAAGGCCAAACTACAAGCTACAAAAAAGAGGTGTTGGTCTCGAGGAGCTAATAGTCACAATTTTAGAAGTCAAGGGCCAAAAGTGTAAGTTCTGGATTTAGTTTGTAAATATTTATGAAGACAGGGGCTCCGTGGTAATTATTGGGACTTAATTTGAAAGAAAAAGAGAAGGGAGGGCTTAATATGTCATAATTGAGAATTGGAGATTAAAAAGGTAAATTCTAGATTAGTTTTGCATAGATTCTCAAAGTGGAGGGTTGTTGGGTAAATTTAGGACTTATTTTGTAACAGATCTTTAATGCTGGGGTAAAAGGGGTAACTATTGGACTCATTTTGAAAGGAAGGGGGAAGGAGGGACCGAAATTGTAATTATGGGATGATGCATCACCGGGTGTGAACCAGTCACCCCTTCATATATATAGAATATGAAACCCTAAACCTAGCTAACACTCCAGCCGCCACCCACTCTTCTGCCCCCCTCACTGGCGCCACCACCACCCCCATTTTCCGATCAGCGAATGGCGGCCATCCGAACACTGAGTCTCCACCGCTCTTCTTCTTCAGTCGCTGCCATGAGACGTTGCATCCACCACCCGCTACTTCGCAAACCGGAGCGCCACCTCCTAGCCTCGCCGGAATCCATGAAGCTACAGCCGCCACTCCCTTCTTCTACTGCCGGCGCCGCACCATCGATTTCGCTCACCTCCACTATTCTCCTTTTTCTTCTTTCTGTCACCACCGTAGCCACCGAGACGATCGCCGGTACATCCCCAACAGTCTGCGCCTCCGCCTCCATTCCACAGCAGCGAGTCGCTGTCGCTGCCGCCGTTTGAGCAACCTTCCGTTTCAGTGCTCCGGCCGAGATTCGCCGCCATTAGGAGGGACTAGTTGCATTCGTTTGGTGCATGGGCTCGCGTAGGGTGTGTTGCTGCTTCACCGTGAAGAGCAAGTGTGTTGTGGGCCGGAAACCAAGAACAAGAACCACCATGGCCGCCAGCCATGGTGGCTGCCGCCACTCGCCACCGCTGGCCACCACAAGGTGGTTATGTGTGTGTATGTTTAGCTTAGTTGTGT